AACAATTAGCTGTAACACTAGATCATATCACGTGTCTGTAGACAGAACAATTAGCTGTAACACTAGATCATATCACATGTTTGTAGACAGAACAATTAGCTGTAACACTAGATCATATCACATGTTTGTAGACAGAACAATTAGCTGTAACACTAGATCATATCACATGTCTGTAGATAGAACAACTAGCTGTAACACTAGATCCTATCACATATCTGTAGACAGAACAACTAGCTGTAACACTAGATCCTATCACATATCTGTAGACAGAACAACTAGCTGTAACACCAGATCTTATCACATGTCTGTAGACAGAACAACTACTAGATCCTATCACATGTCTGTAGACAGAACAACTGCTAGATCTTATCACATGTCTGTAGACAGAACAACTACTAGATCCTATCACGTGTCTGTAGACAGAACAACTGCTAGATCATATCACATGTCTGTAGACAGAACAAATGCTAGATCCTATCACGTGTCTGTAGACAGAACAACTAGCTGTAACACTAGATCCTATCACATGTCTGTAGACAGAACAACTAGCTGCAACACTAGATCATATCACATGTCTGTAGACAGAACAACTAGCTGTAACACTAGATCCTATCACATGTCTGTAGACAGAACAACTAGCTGTAACACTAGATATTATCAAATGTCTGTAGACAGAACAACTAGCTGTAACACTAGATCATATCACATGTCTGTAGACAGAACAACTAGCTGTGACACTAGATCCTATCACATGTCTGTAGACAGAACAACTAGCTGTAACACTAGATCATATCACATGTCTGTAGACAGAACAACTAGCTGTAACACTAGATCCTATCACATGTCTGTAGACAGAACAACTACTAGATCATATCACATGTCTGTATACAGAACAACTAGCTGTAACAATAGCACATTACATTGAAACACGTTTCTCTTTGTATAGGGTATTGACATCTGGATGGCGACCTGCATGTTATTCGTTTTTTGTTCGTTCGCGGAGTTTGTTTTGGTGAAGTTTTTCGATAAACAACGTCAGGTGTTTTTCCGACAACAGATGAAGCAGACGTTGGTAAGCAATCTTATGAAACACTATGTCGCCAGAGTAACTTTTTGTATGCTCTGTAAACCATTGTAAAATGATAGTGTTAGACTTAAACTGCCCCTCCTTAATATTGTTC